TTTTTAAATCATACGTGACATGCCGTTGTGGCTGGATAAAAGTTTGTGTTTATTTTTCAAACACCTTCGTTTGATAGGTAGGAATGTAGCTATGAACAAGTACGTACTAGTAATATTAGTTATTTTGTTATTAGTTTATTATTAGTACCTATGTATTATGTATTACCAGTTAAATAGTAAAATAAATACATATAATGATAAATTAACTGTGGATTATTTCATTTACGTTGCGTTACGTGGCTTCCGTGTGGGTAGCTCGCTGTTTATTCCAAAATTAACAAAGTAGCTCGACACATTAAAGAGGTTGGCGACCACTGACCTATACCAATATATGTGTATACGTGAATAAAATAATATAACAAATTGCCACGAACCATGGCAAATAAACTGTACTATGCGCTCGATGAGTTCCTTGACGATATTTCAGAGGTTTGAGGAGTTTGTTTGGTTTTTCGTTGATTTTTTGGCAACGCGTTTTGACTGTTTACGTACCCTTGCATATTATACAAATATTTTTATTTGTTTCGCTAACAATGTCGCTTTGTGTGAAATATTTCAGTTGTACCATTATGTATTTCATCTTCAGTATCGTTATGTTTGTCGATAAGATTTTCAATCTTTGTGACAGTAAACTTTTATCTTCCTAACATCGGTAACTACTCATCGAACGACCCAAAGGAAAGTGGAACAAACTTACCAAAATTAAATCGTCTGAATCACAAGGTACCGTTATTTTGTCGTTGCAAATTTGCATGTTCCTGCTCTCTGCCAAATCTTCGCTGCCTTGACCAGATCCGACATCGATCATACCTTCGTTGGTATCTGTATTTGGACTGATCCTGAAGGCATTTTCATGGCAAGGTTCATATACGATACTGCACATTCCCTGTTCCTGTTTTATGCAGATATTGTAATCTTGGTTGGCCAGGTGTCTTCCATTGTCAGCAAAATTCATTGTCTGGATTGTCCCCCTTGTCCCTGCACAAATTAATTTATTCATTTGAAACCATTAATTTATTATGTAATGTAGTCTAATGAATTATCTATCTATCTGTCAATTTCCGTTTCTTAAGCATTTTATCGAGAAATTATTGCTAGAGTCAGTGTTGATACAGAAATTGTGGTAAATGCCTTGTGTTTTTTCATGAACTGATTCTGAAAAAACTAATTTCCCAGTAAAAGTTAGGGAAGTCTTTTTGGATACTCATAATGACCTTGTTGATGACAAAAAGTGCCAAAGACCATTGCCTATTTATTAATGCTGATAAGTCAAAATTTATGTTGTTTGGAAGTAGATATCATTGTCAAAAACTGAAGGACTCTATCAATATTACTATGAATAATAAGCAGCTGAAAATTGTTAAGAAAGCAAGAAACCTAGGAGTAACTATGGACCCTGACTTGAGGTTTGAAAACATATATACAGACAATTACAACGGGCGGTCTGTATCTGAAATCGAAATTTGCTACCCATTCAAATTAAAAAATCATTTTATGAAACGCTAGTTTTATAATAATAATATTAATAACTCACTTATATTTTTATGAACATTACATTAATACTTATTATTATGGTAATACTTATTATATGTTAATTACGAGAAAACGCCGAAGATCAGGTGATCAATGTATTTTATGAAAAATACATTGACCTCTGTTATTATTCTCAAGCGAGAGAGATCTAATTCAGAGCCGTATCAATATCTTGTGTAACCTCTGTTGCAGACAGTCAGTGATGCAATTGAACCCAGGTTTGTGTTTAATGAACCCTACAAATTACAAATGAAACAGGACACAGAGTCAGATGCTACAAATGCAATACGCATATAAACAGACGGCTTAGAAACCAAAGAAGCCTCAGGATGTGGAGTTTATTCCAGATCACTAAGCCTGAGGATTAAGTGGGGAATGGGAAAAATACCAGCGTGGTTCATACACAACTGGCTGGTATTTCAATCGCCACAAAAGAAATAACCAAAAAGAAATTTCTGGCAAAAACATAACAATCTGCACTAATAGTAGACAAGCTCTATTAGCCTTGAACAGACAACATGTTACCTCAGGGCTAGTACTAGAGTGCCACCAAGATTTAGCCAAAGTCTCGGCAGATAATAACATTACCCTGAGGTGGGTTAAAGGACATGACAGGAGTAAAGGAGTTTAGGACCCAGTGACACACACGGCCTGATGACAATTGCGGAACTAGCCAAACGGCACACCCATGCTCAATCCCCTAAAGAGATGAGATAGAATCAAAAGATGCAGTCTCACCAGGATCACCCTTGGTGACCCTGGGAAGCTGGCGCCGAAGAAATATCTGGCGATGACCAGGAAACAGAGTTGCCAACCGTAGCGGAATTTACTCGACGGTAGCGGCGTAGCGGATTTGAACATAAAGTAGCGGAATTTTCTACAAATAATCAATATTGAAAAAAATATGGAAGAAGAGGCAGTGGACAGACAGTACTCGAAGCTGACAGCTGACAATTGAATGCACAGTTAATACGTTATAATCTTAGTAGCTGAGGCTATTACATGATGAAAGAGTAGAAGAATATTTTTGGATATTTTCATAACTATCATAAACCATATAACCTCCAATATCTGGGAACTAAAAGTCTCGACTGTCTCGAGAATTATGAATTATATGGAACAAATTACAGAGGAAATGGAAGATAGCTGATCGGATTGTAGCTCGAGCGAAAGAATGGAATAGACCTGTCGCGAATGATCGTTCAAAAGCTCAGTGTGACTATTTCTACGTGAACAAATTGATATTTATTTTCACTTTTTAAAATCATTATTTCAAGCTAAGAAATATTTGGTCGAGACGACAGCTTTCAAAAATTAACTACTGTAAATTTAGAAAATTAGGTACCATCTTTTGAGTTGCGCGGTTGAAAATTAGCATGATCCTGATTCCTGACATTAATGACAGTTCTGTTTTGTGGTATCTAAACAGCACACAAACTACAAACTTTAAGTTCTGTGGTATTTAATTTTGGATAGGGCGCAAGCGTGAACTGCTTGCGTCAGATGTATAAGCGTAGCGGAATATGAAGCAGTGTAGCCGAATTTTGGTTCTTGTGTAGCGACTTTATAGTTCATTCAGTTGGCAACACTTCCAGGAAAAGCCTACGCTCAACAGTAGGATTTCTTCTCTTAAGGTTGTATTTTGGAATGCCAATAACATCTCAAATAAGAAACTTGATTTCGAAAACTTTCTAATAGCGCAAAACATCGATGTCGCACTTGTGCAGGAAACCCACCTGCACAATGAACCTTTTGGCATCCCAAACTACCGTTTCTACTATAGAGAACGAGTTGGACGTGCTGGAGAAGGAGTTGGCATTTTTGTCAAACGTAATCTTCCTCACGTACAATTCGGCATTGACTCGGATCAGTTACACGGCACGGAAGCCGTGGGCATTGAACTCCAACTGAGAAGAGGTCGTCATAGACTAATCTCAGTTTACAACCCTCCGCGGAATCGTCTACTCTCAGAATCACTGGATGAACTGCTGTTGTCGATAGATACCCCCACAATTGCTGCTGGTGACTTCAACGCCAAGCACAATCTGTGGAGCAGAATCACCAATGCGAACGGCTGAGCGCTCCATGCGCATGCTGACAGGCATGAGTATCGAGTGATGGGTCCAGGTGAGCCTACGTGCTACCGTGGGGATAACAGACCTGACGTGCTTGATATCGCATTACTCAGGAACGTCTCCATGTCCTGCGAAGTGTACACTTTGTCGGAATTAGACTCAGATCATAATCCAGTCATCCTTATGCTGAGTGATGATCCCCCTCCCCATGAGTATCGCATGAGATCATCCACGGATTGGGAAGCCTTCAAGGCTCATCTAGTGGAGACACCTACAGACCGCGAGGCACTTCAAACTCGCAACGGTATCGACGCGGCAGTGGCAGATTTTGAACTGTATGTGAACAACGCTTTCCGCGCAGCCACAACCAGGACAGAGTGTCCTCTGCGTAGCTATAATGAGTTTCCTCCAAGGATAAAGAATCTTATCCGGGAGAGGAATCGACTCAGACGACTCAGCGGACCCTCTATCCTGGGGACAAGGCTGCTGCTAGCAGGATGGCCAACCAAGTTAAACAGGCCATCATTGACTATAGAAACGAGAGGTGGAGTGAGTGTTTGGAATCTCTCGAACCTGGGGATGATGAGCTATGGCGAGTCACCCGCAGGCTCGAGAAGAGGAAAACTGCTCCCTCCCCTCTTCATGGACAGCGCGGCATCTGCTACTCCCCCGCCGAGAAGGCGTTGGCCTTTGCAGATACAATGGAAAATCAGTTCCAACTTAAAGTTGATCCGGATGATGATATTGACCGTGATATCCGGCTGGAACAGCGAGTTCAGCCTATCCTCAGGAAGAATGATGACGATGTGATCCGTCCAGCTTCGGAGGAAGAACTGAGGGGGTACATTAGAGCCTCCAAACCCAAGAAGGCTCCGGGAATTGATTCAAACAACAATAGGTTGCTGAAGCAGCTCCCGGAGAACTTTATCAGATATCTGTTGGACATCATAAACAGCTCAATCGCCCTCAGATACTTCCCCCGAAGATGGAAGCATGCCGTAGTTGTCATGATTCCGAAACAGGTCCAGAATCCCCTGTTTCCCCAGAATCATCGTCCAATTAGTCTGCTTTGCTCAACGGCTAAGCTGGCTGAACGTGTTGTGCTGCAAAGGCTAACTGAAGAAGTTGAAGACCGAAATGTTCTGCCTGATGAACAATTCGATTTCAGGAGGGCACACTCCACCGAGCTGCAGGCCTTGAGATTGGTCGAAAACTCCATCTCAGAGCTAAATAATAGGAAGACAGTCCATCTTGTCCTCCTGGAAATTTCAAAAGCCTTCGACCGAGTATGGCACGAAGGCTTATTACACAAAATGCTCGATTTCGACCTGCCTCGGGGCTTGATCCGGTGGATTAGGTCCTTTCTGAAGGGCAGATCATTACAGGTCCGAGTTGAAGGAACCCTGTCTCCCGTCAGGGAAATCCAAGCTGGAGTGCCTCAAGTAGCTGTGCTGTCTCCGCTACTGTACAGCCTTTACGTGAGCGACCTTCCGAGGTTCGATCACGTGAGGGTTTTCCTATACGCCGATGATACGGCTCTCCTCGCTTCTTCCATGGGGCGGGGGTTGGCGGTCGTCTACATGCAACGCGCAATTGACGACCTCGAACGCTGGTACCTGGAATGGAAGATTCGGGTGAACCCAAGAAAAACTCAGGCGATGGATTTGGGGAAGCGCAACGTTTCTCCAGATATAAGAGTCACGATTTCAGGCAGGGAGATCGAATGGCAAACGCGAGTCAAATACCTAGGTCTTTGGGTAGACCGCCGACTCACCTGGGTAAATCACGTTGATTTCATCAAGGATAGAGTACAAATGAGGATAGCCAAACTCTATCCTCTGATCAACCGAAAGTCCAAGCTCAATCTTAGGAATAATATTTTACTATATAACACGATTTTCGAGCCTGTCATTATGTATGCTGCAGGCGCTTGGGGACAAACCGCTCCGACAAACCTCTCCATTCTGGAGCGATTGCAAAACAAACTTCTCAGGATGCTGGTGAATGCTTCATGGTTCGTACGGAATGAAGCCATCCGCAGAGATTTGAAGCTGTTAACTATACAGCAGTCCATTCAGTTGAGGAATCAGAGAGTTTTCGAGTCAGCGGAAACTCATGATGACCCATTAGTTGAGGAAACTGTAGATTACACTATAGACGATCCCACTCGACTCAGAAGGCCCCGTCGCTCGGTTGAGTGAAGGCCCCACGACGTCTGTTAAAATGAACAGTTAGTTCATCAATACCCCAGTCAGGAAGGGGTACACAAGGCCAGAGCGGCATAGATGTCATTGACCTTTATGCCGTCACCAAATCACTCTAAGTTATGAACCACTCGTCCACCTGACGAGAGACATTTGAAAGGGTAAGGGAAAAGATTCCAACCTGATTAAGATGAAGATGACTATTGGCGAGTAGGATTTCTGACTGGCCACTGTCAACTAAGGAAACACCTCTACTACTAGACACTACTAGACACACCTCTATGTAGGATGTGTGAACAGTAAGATGAAACGGTCAGGCATGTCTTATGCGAGTGTCCGAAGTTATCGTCACCTGCCGATATAAAGATGTCTCCTAGTGACCTGTCCACCTTCCTGGAAAGAACAGAATGGACGATGACCTAGGAGGAAAACTCCTCGGGAGGATGTACAATGGGTCACATGTGGCCTAAGTGCTATGGGCCTACACACACTCTCCGTACTCTAGAGATAATGGACCCAATATTGATCCCTGAGGAACACTTCTAAATATTTGACGAGGATTCGATATATTTTCACTCATTTCAACACTTTCAGTGCTCTTAGTAGTAATCTAGTTTTGTTAATAATATTATGTGATTCAAAGTGTCAAATGCTTTGGAATAATCTAACAATATTAGTATTGTTGCCTTTTTTTGTCAATTATCAGCCTGAAATCATGCTGACTTTCTCTACGTCCCTAATTTAACAACACCTTATAAGAAAAAAATACAGAAACTTCAGATGTCATGTCTGAGATTAATGTGCAGTATTATAAGACGACAAAGAGTTTCTTATAAATCAAATGTAGAATATGGATAAAAGAAGAAAACATCAGAGGAAAAAACAGCAGATGTATTTGCAAACTTTTTTCACTCCGTTTTTTGTACTGATAGTGCTACATATAATTATGATACTTTGAATGATGTTAGGATTTGTAACGAATATTTTACAGTACATTCGATAACTAATAGCGATTTTGATGAGGCATTGAAAAGATTAAAACCCAAGAAGGCAACGGGTACTGATGGGATCCCTCCTTATATATTGAAAGGATGTGGTGATTGGTTGAGAATCTCTCTCCTACACATATTTAATTTAATCATCAAATAAAATATCTATCCTGGTGTATGGAAAACTTCAATTACGACGCCTATATACAAATCTGGGAACAAAATGGACATTAAAAATTACAGAGGTATATCAATCATGTCTTCACCAGCAAAATTATTCGAACATATCATTTTTAAGAAACTCAGTGTATACATCAACAAATATATAGTACCTCAACAACATGGATTTATGAAAAAAAAGTCTATCAATACAAATTTATTTGAAGTCAGTAATAAAGCCTCCGAAGTTTTAGATAATAAAACGTTGCTTTCACTGATTTTCGTAAAGCTTTTGATCAGGTTCATCATGATATTCTGATAGAAAAGCTTAGTAAATATGGAATTTCAAGAAACTTTCTAGAACTAACGAAAAATTATCTTCAAAATCGGTTTTTCATTGTCAAACATAATGGAAAAATTTCGGATGAATTTTCAGCTAGGTCAGGTATACCACAAGGATCAAATCTAGGTCCACTTTTATTCATAATTTTCATCAATGATTTACCATAAACCCTGAAATCTTGGGACTGTCTTCTTTCTGCTGATGATTTGAAACTTTTTAAATCAGTGCAAACAGTCCGAGACTGTACATATCTGCAAAGGGATATAAATAACATCTTAGATTAGAGTTTGAAGAATAAATTATACTTCAATCTCAATAAATGTTCAGTCATCTCAATAACTCGCATTAAGGAGCCAATCATATTTAGTTATGAGATTGATGGTGTGGTTCTTGAAAGAAAAACTGATACTAAAGATCTTGGATTGAAGTATAATACACAATTCTCATTTGCTGATCATATACGAGATATTATGAAATCTGGTAGTCGGATGTTGGGTTTTGTAATCAGACAAACATCTTCATTCTCTAATATAGACATTATTAAATTACTTTATTTTTCGTTAGTAAGACCGAAATTGGAGTTTGCTTCTATTATTTGGTTTGCGGAGTACCAAACCTATATGAAAGAACTAGAGAAAATTCAGAACAAATTCTTGGGGTATCTATTTTTTGAGCGATACCACAGGTGGCCAAACTATAACTCAACAAGGTCTTTGGACCTACGACATGAATTTAAAATATTATCTTTAGAACAGCGACGCCAATTATCAGCAATGATATTCATGCATAAACTCTTCAATAACAACATTGATTCTTCAGAAATTCTCAGTATGTTACCATTTCACGTTCCTCCTCGTCGCACCCGATTTTCGCTCATGTTCAATATTCCAACCGTAAGTGCCGCAACGAAAGCACCACTAATATCCTTACTAAAGTTAGTCAATAGTTTGAATATATCAATAGATCTTGATTGGACACTTTCCCAATCAGCATTCCGCCAAAAAATTTTGGAAAATATGTTAAATTTACCTATTTAAGCAGTATTTCCCTCTACAATTCTGGTACATATTTTATTATTTTATTATTTTTATATATTCATAAGTATTTCAAGGATTGTATGAACTTTAATTTTTTTATCCATGTGATTAGGCTGTAATAGCTTGTGTGGATAATAAATAAATCATGATGTTATTCTATACCATGAAATATAAAAAAAAACAAATTCCTCCTCATTCAACATAACTTCCCGTACAAACGTACATAATTTGAATCATGAATAGAAGCCTACTGAATGTACCTCCCTTTAGAATGGAATATTCTCTATGCAGTCAGATTCTGAAAATTATAAGAACACAAAATGTTAACAAACTCATACAGTTTCATGAAAATATTTTTTTTAGTTTTCAGGTCATTTTTTTCTTTGTTTGTTTAGGGTTAAGTGAAAGAATATTTTCTGTCGTGTTTACACAATATTTCAATTATTCCTAGAAATGAGCAAATCCATGAACTTTTCACCAGAAATAACTCTCAACTACATCAACCTTATAGTAGATTGATAGTATTAAAGAATCACCCCATGTGCTTTGGGGTTAATCTATATAATGAGCTTAGCGGGGACATTAAATCCTCAAATATGAATGTCTTTAAAAGGCGACTCAAGATTTTCAATTGCAAAAAGCATACCACTCTGTGGATGAGTTTCTCCTTGAATCATAATTTGATTGTAGCTTATTAACATTTTTTATGTATGTTTTACCTTGAAATCTACTATTTATTGTATTCTTTTCGATGATAAATCATCATTATTATATTTTTGGACATCGATGACACGGAGTATTTGAAACTTTAATGACCTACAAGTTAGTCGATTCCTTTCAGAATGTAGAGGAAGAAGGGTAGAACTTTTGAGCACCTTGTCGGCTTCAAGTATCGGGACAAATATCATCCAATTTCAATATATTTGTTCTAGAATCTCTAACAAAATTCTTAGAAGAACGGAGACAATAAACATATTCATGTTGTCAGGTTTTCGAGAACCTTTCATCCTTGAACTTTGTTATTGAGTTGCTCATCATCTATAACTCGTTTGAAGTACACTCAATTCCAATTCTTACCTTCATAATACTGTAAACAATCTACTGGGGCTCTCTGAGAAAATGCTACTTGTACCACACGCACTTCCCATAACCTGCTTACAGCTTTTCCATTCAGGTTCATGCTGATCGTGATTGGTTCATCATTTATTGTCTCAATGTCGAAATACACTGAAAAAACAGGAGAATAATAGTGAAATAGATTCATTTTCAAGCTACTTGATGAACAAAAAGTAGCATGTATATTTCAGAGGGGGTGAGCCAAAGAAATTCTTTGCAACGTCCGGTGTCCCCCAGGGATCGAACTTGGGCCCCCTTCTGTTCCTGTGTTTCATCAATGATCTTTCTGATTCTGATATGACGATGATTGCAAATTCTCTACATGATTGGTGTAAAAACAAAGGTTATAAATTCCAAAGTGAATATTGAAAATCTATTAATCTATTATAGCTTAAATAAGGTAAAATATAAAGCAAAACATCACAAAAGTGAGACAAAAGGAAAACCATATCAGCAAGGTTTAACATGAATATGTTATCTATCCAGAAGACTTCAGATATGTTTTCAAATTTTTCTTGAAATTATATATGGAGTAGTGTTTGAATTCACTGCGCAGAGCGTTATATTGTTTGATAGAGTTGTAAATAAAACTACGAGAAAAGCAGGCTGTCGAGTGTTTTGGAATAATAAAAGTGTGACGGTTTCGTGTCCTCGGATTATTCTGAGATTTGAAAGTTTTACATCTTTCATAAATATAATTTGGCTTTTTGTAAATGAGGAATTTATGTGTATTGACAAGTAGGTGGAACTGCCAGGTTTTAGCAATCAGTAACCAACTTGAATCCTCGAACTTGGGGAATATATGGCCGAATTTTCGGATGTAATTGTTTTGTATTTTTTGTAAGCGGATTACATCAATTTGTATCAAAGCAGGCCCGTAAATTATATCGCAATATGCTAATCTAGACAATATGAGGGTTTCGCAAAGTTTCAACTTCAATTTGGAAGTCATAATATCTCTACCTTGATAGAGTTGACGTAAGATACTAAACGAGCTACGACAAAGTGAATTTATAAGTTTGTGAAATCTCAAATCAGCATCTAGCCACAAACTCTAGTTCTTGATTTCTGTAATTATTTGTAGTAAGTCTTGTCCAAGATTGATTTCAATTCTTCCTTCAATTTCCCACCTCTTGTGTTTCGGACCAAAAAGTATCAGCTGAGATTTTTTAGAATTCTATAGGTAGATCCAGTGATTTTTGTAGATCGCTGTTAATTTTTTCCATTGCCACCAGCCAGTTACTTGGAGGAAATCGATAATATAACTGAGTGTCATCTGCATAATGATAAACTGTGCAATGATGAATCATTTCATGGAAGTCAGATACATATAGAGAGAACAGAATAGGGCCAAAGATAGAGCCCTGAGGTACTCCATAGTCAACAGGTAAAGCACTAAAACATCCAGACATACTGACCGAGTCCGATTTCTGAGGTAACTTTTCAATAGATCTACAGTCTCTCCACTAAATCCGAGAAATGACATTTTCCTACACAGAATATTGTGGTCTAATGTATCGAATGTTTTACTGTAGTCCAAGAGTACCATGGCAGTTACTTCATTATTGTCAGTTGCTTTGAATAAATCTTGGGTGTGGTGCTATGGAATGCACGAAATCCAGATTGAACATTCGTTATTGAATTATTATTGTATACAAAAAAAGCAATTTGATTTTTCAGAATCAGTTCGAACAACATAGATAGGATAGACTTGAAAAATATCCGAATATTTTCCTGACTTAGAGCACAACTACCGTATGCCACTGTCAACATTTCGAGTGTTTTTGAGCTCCCAATTCCACAACATTTGATGCAAATTCTTTGATCCAGTTTTTTTCGATAGCAGAAGATAGCCGAACACGCAAAAAATTTCTAACTTTGATGCCTCTCACCAACAAGCTAAACATGCTAAATAGCTGGAACTATGAACATATATTCGAGACCAGTGTACCAACATGAAAAAAATAAAAAACGCTAATTCAATGTACAAAGCTCGCCAAATTTGAACATTACCGTTATTTTTTTTAACAGTCCACTAGGTTAGGTTAGGTTAAAAGTGAGTGGGTCTATTCGACCCTCCACCGCAACCCGCAAGGGTTTATTGTGGCTCACACCTATTCACACTCGACCAAACAAACCTAACTTCTTCACGAAGCCGATTAGTTTGTATGGTGATTGGTCTTTCAGGTCAGATGGTAAAAGTACGGATCTGCCGAACTCTAAAGACCTGATTCGGTCCCCAGCGGGACAGGCTCAAAGTATATGCTCTATTGAGGAGGTAGTCGGATAGTCAAGTTGCAAGATTCCCACCTTGATACCCCTGACAACCTTCCCATATGAAGGTTTTTGCACGTCACCTACACCTGATGATGCCTTAGATTCAGGCGTGCAGGGCTTTTTCGCCTCTGGTTTTGGTGAATTATCACTTGAGCGCAAATGTCTGCTAACCTGCCCATGGGGGGGTTTGTTCCCCCACCTGAGACAGATTCTACGTACGCCGGTAGAAAATTTGGTGCAAAGTGGTTGAGGAGATGACTCAAGATGACCTCTTGAGGAGATGACTTAGTCATTTCCTGGCTGCACCACCAAACCTTTTTTTTAAGGTTCAGTTGTTGGATCAGGAATTGGGAAGTTGAGAAGCTCTCGCTACTGAACTAAATTTACAGGGAGGTCAGTTGGAGTCGTAAACTCAACATCCATCTCCTCTGTCGACTTGCTCCTGAACTAAATTTACAGGGAGGTCCGTTGGAGTCGTAAACTCGACATCGATCTTCTCTGTAGACTCGCTTCTGAACTGAATTTACAGTGAGGTCAGTTGAAGTCGTGAATTGGACATCCATCTCCTCTGTAGATTCGCTCCTGAATCAAATTTATAGGGAGGTTAGTTGGAGTCGTAAACTCAACATCCATCTCCTCTGTCGAGTCGCTCCTGAACTAAATTTACAGGGAGGTCCGTTGGAGTCATAAACTCGACATTCATCTCCTCTGTAGACTCGCTTCTGAACTGAATTTACAGTGGGGTCAGTTGGAGTCGTGAACTCGACGTCTATCTCCTCTATAGACTCACTCCTGAACTAAATTTACAGGGAGGTCAGTTGGAGTCGTAAACTCGACATCCATATCCTCTGTAAACTCGCTTCTGAACTGAATTTACAGTGAGGTCAGTTGGAGTCGTAAACTCGACATCCATCTCCTCTGTAGACTCGTTCCACAAGTGATTCTGTCATTCCCGTATCCAGCGAGGCTACGTGGAAGCAGGCATCCGATGGCAGGTTTGCTCAACCCCCACATCCCAAGCCAATGCACTCGCCAAAAACAGCATGCACAGTGGTTCAGGTAATGAAAGATGAACAAAGACAACCAACCCAGTCAGTCCACCATGTTCAGTTCTTTAATTAACACATTCACACACTGTGAGGAAGACTGTACGTTCACCTTGTTTAACATAAACATGATAACTTGATTGGTGAAACGCAGTCGAGGAGAGTATTACAGTTCTGGTCAGTGGAAAATGGGTTTTTGTTGGAAAACAATATTGTGAAGGTTTTTTGAAGACAGGATAAAGACCGGGATTGTGAAATTTCATTGTCTGATAACATACTAAAATTAGAAATAATGGAATAAAACTCCAGCGAAATAGTTTCATACTTAACTACTGAAAACTCACGACTAAGAAGAAGATATTCACCTACCGTGCTGGCCACTGTTGAATCCACACATCGTCAATTCCTTAGTGTAGTTTCCGACAGACATAGAAAATACGTCGTCCTCACACACTCCAGTCCTTCTATTTGGCTGTCCCTGTAAGAAGAAACGAACACTAATTGCGTCTTCAGTATCAACGCAATATTAAAATAATTTCGCAGGTTTCTCTGAACGAGACAAACCAATCAGATAACCCGTTAGTTGACACTCACCAAATTGAAGTGTATAAAGTCTAATCGCAGCTGCGCGATGTCTTCGTCGATTTTTCTGACAGTCAAGGCACACGAGGACATATCTCTCGTTAGATCCGGAAAATCCGGATTGACGAAGTAGGTTATATTGTTGTTAGCTTCTTGGTTACATGTTGCGGTAACTGAAACAAAACTGTTTTATTATTCGACATTTGACCCGAACGAAAACGGCATCGAGCACTTTTGGAGTTCACCACTTTGGAGGTTAGCACATTTTTGATTCACTTATACTTGTATTCGTGTTTTTTTTTTATTTACAGCCAGTTTGCTCTATTCAGTGGCCAGATTTAGAGCCAAAGTAGCATAATGTTGATACATTTGGGGCAATGAATCATTACTCACGCGTCACCAATATTTGACGCGATAATAATAACTCTCTATTATTGGCTATTGCTTCAGTTCAGGCGAAGTGATCCAATTCTATTCGAGGGGGTACAAAGGTCTTGCTTTACGCAATACTGCACCCCATATTTATTTTTCCCAGATTATTCGTTTTTGTTAGGCACTTCTTCCAACGGCGGACATATACAGTACATAAAAACTATCATATTCTTCATAAAATATTATTTGTTGCGACCCTACTCCCACGTAGACATTCTGTCCACCCCGGCCTCCAACCGGCGTGAATCGGAGTATATATTAATTCCACTTAGCACTCCCACGTGGACATCCGGTCGACTTCGGCCTCTAACCGGCGTGAATGGGAGCATGTATTTTATATATCACACTTTAGTACTCCCACGTGGACATCCGGTCCACCCTGGCGTAAATGAAGGTACTATTTATTTTAAAACACTTTGATAATTTTTATTAACACTATTTTTAATTTAATATTGATTCATCAGTCGCGTGATGGGTCTAGCTAGAGGTTCCTGATACAAGATGCAGAGCCTGTCGCAATGTGCTTGATTCCCTGATGCACTCGCTGTCAGAATGTCCAGCGTATGCGAGTTCAGCCTATATCCATCGACATGACGCGGCCCCAAGAGTACCGATAATGATAACGATAACGATAATGATGATGATAGCAACAACGATACTGATAACGATAATGATAAAGATAATAATACCGATAATGATAATGATAACGATAATGGATAATGACTGGATACAGCCTGTAAAATCGTCAGAAGTTCGGATCCCCTTCTCTGCATGGTCCGTTACCATGAGAGAGCAGGAATTGGAGCATTTCTCCTTAGGGACACTGAACGAGGTAATCACAACTCTGTCACCGAATTGAAACCTGTTCAGCAAAAAGCTCGGATAAAAGCCGCAGAGATCACCTTACTTCTGCGGAAACACAAGGATGAGCCAAAGCCTATATCCATCGACATAACGCGGTCCTAAGAGTGCTATATTACCATCTACGGCACTCTTACGATATTGACGAGACACCGGTGTTGCCCTACGCTCCGGGGAATATTGAATCTGAACTCATGATTATTTCTTATCAGTTCTGTGGTGTGCCGCACTGTTACTGAGGATTTGATGTGGTAAGGGGGGAATGGGGAAGAAAGTGATGAACAAACATTGGTTGATGTTATAGAAAAACTCACATACGCAACATACACCAAATCCGAGAGCACAGAAGCCAAAAGATTTTCCTCCCTGTATCCTGCACTCATATGTGTTCATGCAAACTCCTGAAAATATAAAAATCAAATTTACTTATGAAACTCGTAATCACAATTTCAAATAAGTGTTATAATTCTGAATGAAAACGTACCTTTCCGTCGCCCGTCATTGGAGTTACATTCTTCTTCGAATGGAACTGGGAAGAAATTCAAAACTGGAAAAAAATTGATGGTAAATATCTAGAAAGGAATATCCTGAATTGGTTTTGACCTTCTATAAATTATGCTACAAAATATCGGGTAAAATTAAAATTTCGGGGATAATAGATAGACAGATCAATATCAATAGATATGAGATATAAACATATTCTCTGCCGTTTTTGTATAGGAAGACGAATAGGTTGAAAAATTATTTTTCGTAACCACAGGTTGAGTCAACAATATTCCCTCGGTCCATTGCTATCAGAGGAAACAATTTTTCGAGCTACTCTATTTTTTGCAGTCATAATCGATACATACTATCTTTCAAAATTATTTTCTGGCATACTGGGTGATTCAGCTGAGCGTGGCCAACCAAAGGTTTAATTTTTCAAATAGAACACCCAATATATGAATACGTCATTTGATACCATATTTTTTTTAGCTCTCTGAGCAATTTTTATTTAATAATTTTCATTGCGGCATTGGCAAATTCCAGAAAAATATATTTTGCAGACAATTGTTTTTAATTCACCACCTGCATGTCTACGGCAGATACGTGGATTTTTTTTAGGAATAGTTAGTCAACATCACTCTGATAATTTCTGGAATCTCAACTTTTTTAAACAGACGTAATTCAACTTTTTCAAACCAAGTTTTAGTAATTGTTGTAACCACAAAAAATGTATTTCCTTACTTTGTGATATTGATGACTTCATGTTTTGATGTCAAAACCAAAAAAAAATCTACTTCAATTATTACGGAAGATACGGGGGTGTTTCCATAAGAAGTGAGACAAATTCGGATTTTTCAGGACTGAAATTTTTTCAGGAAAAAAATGTAATCGTAGTAAGTTGGTAGTCCTGATCAAGAATCTGAAGGAATTTTGAGCCTATTCTGCCCCCTAATATGTTTTACCGTAGAAATGGGGTGTTCCACCGCGAGTGGCGGACAGTGTATATCACTTTGGCCAACCCCATCCAGGTGGTAGGTGCATTTTGAGCATTTCCATCAGTCCTGAGAGTTTCATCATTCCACCTCGAATATTACGGAAGATACGGGGGTGTTTCCGTAAGAAGTGAGACAAATTCGGATTCTTCAGGACTGAAGTTTTTTCAGAAAAAAAATATAATCGTAGTAAATTTGTAGTCCTGATCCCGAATCTGAAGGAATATTGAGCCTATTTTGCCCCCTAAAATGTTTTACCGTAAAAATAGGGTGTTCCATCGCGAGTGGCGGACAGTGTATATCACTTTGGCCAACCCCATTCAAGTGGAGGTGCATTTTGAGCATTTCCATCATTCCTGAGAGTTTCATCGTTCCACCTCGAATATTACGGAAGATAGGGGGGTGTTTCCATAAGAAGTGAGACACACTGTATATATAAAACTAATATCTTTTGACGTAAAAACATGTTTTCTAGCATTCCAACAAATGAATGCCCCCCTCTAGTTGAATGTAATACTAAACCGTTCTGTAATCTCTTAAATACATGTCTGACACAAAACTTTTTCAAATTCAACAATGACTTTTATTCACAATACTCAGGTCTCTCTATGGGCTCACCATTAAGCCCCATACTCGCAGATATCTTCATGGACAGACTAGAAAATACCCTCATCCCCAACAACCCCCTGTCCCAGAAACATATCGTGTATTGGTACAGATATGTTGATGACATACTAGTGGGCTTTGATGGTTCTACCAGACAAATTAGCCAATTTTTGAACTTCCTCGATAGTTTACACAGCAAAATTGAATTCACTATAGAAATGGAACAAAACAGTGAGCTTAATTTCTTGGATTTGAATATTTTAAAAATTAACAACGGTTTTCAATTTAATATCTATCGAAAGAATACATTCACAGATTGTACGATCCCCTTCGACTATTTCAGTCCAACCTCACATAAATTAGCAGCTTTTAGGTCCATGATACACAGAGCATTCACAATCCCTTTGCCTGAAGTGAATTTTCAGAATGAATTGAAAGTCATCAAACAAATAGCAGTCAATAATCAGCTACCTGTGTCCTTAATTGAAAAGATTATTTCAGGTAGAACCCATAAAAGTATTATGGGAGAACTGTACCCATACATCAAAGAACAGAATACATACAAATATAGCAGCATTAATTACACAGGTGAACTTTCAGTAAATATTCAAAATTACTTTTCCAAATTCAACATAATAACATCTTTCATAAGTAATAATAATTTAGGCAAAATCATATTTAATGCAAAACCTAGACGTGGCAGAATGAAGAAATCTGGCATATATGGAATAGAATGTAGTGAATGCTCTGCAGTATATACAGGCTAGACTGGTAGAAATTTCGAAGTAAGACTCCGTGAACACGTCAGTTCAGACAAAAAATCTTCTATGTACGAACATCTACAAGAAACAAACCACAAAATAAGTAAGGAAAACCTCAAAATCTTACATACATGTAGTAAGGGAAGGAAAATGAATTTGTTGGAGGCCATGGAAATCAATAAATCCATTGAAAACTCAAAATATAGAACCCTTAACGAACAAACATATTTGTGTAGGTCTCCACTTTTGAATTTATTAAGATGACAACGCAATTAATCACAGTTTGAAGTTTATGTAGTTATATCTTATTACCTACTATTATTATAGTATTATATCTTATTACCTACTCTCGGTCTGTAGTGTTAGAATATTCGAGAATGGTGTAAAAACCGACACCTTGGTCGTATTAATGTCAATACATTAAGTAAGCGGAAATTAGACAAAGTATTTTATTTCTATATCTATATTATTTAATTGTATTTCCTTACGTTTACTTACTCAAATTTGTTTTTCTAATATTCAAACTAATCGCTAGTACATTAACATTTTCCACGCCATCTAGTGATAGTTTTGTTTGTTGCCTAAATTATCAACAGCGTTGGTCACTAAATGTTTGGGTTGGAATTTTCAGAAAGAGAGTTATCGGTCCGTATTTTTTGATAGGCATCTCTCAATGGAAGAAAATATGTTACATTCCTTCGGCACGACTTTAGAATTTATTGGACGGGGTTCCATATAGAACAAGACTTAGAATGTGGCTACAACAAGACGGTGCACCACCACATTTTAAAACTGAGGGACGATCATTTAAATTAAAAATGGTGGCGTGGCACCCAGATCACCTGAACTGACCAGTATGGATTTTTTATGGAGGTATATCAAATGGATTGTTTACTAAACTTCTCCAACGTCTATAAATCTGTTTAAAATCTGTTTTTCCGTTAATCAGCTGTCGCCCCCATACAAACGACAACTCTCAGAAGTGCGAGCTTTGGACAAACGAGGTCTTACCTTTTAACGTGTGATTCCTAACACGGTTGCAGAATCATTCCAGCTTCAACCAGATAAATTCTCTCGAGAAAAATATGTGGTCGAGGCGGGAATCGAACCCACGGTCTTCCGATCGTGAGTCGGGCGCACTACCACCACGGCCAAGATATGAAACGAAGACTAACTAGAGCTTTCAGGGAAATCCCAGAGTATATGCTGGAACGTGTAGATAATTCGTTTAAAAAAAGACTGACATTATGTGTTGCCGAAAATGGTCTCCATTTTGAACATCTTTTGAACTCCTCAATTCAATAAAAGTCGAATGACGTATTCATATACTGGGTGTTCTAAAAAAAAATATAACTTTGGATGGCCACGTTAGCCTGAATCACCCAGTATGCGGGAAAATAATTTTAAAAGGTTAGTATTCATCAAAAGTTCACATATCGATGACTGCAGAAAAAATTGAGAAATTCGAAAAATTGTTTTCCCTGATAGCAATGGACCGAGGGAATCTTGTTGAAACACCCTGTATTGTGTGTTGAATGAATTTAATTGTACTGATAATAAACATATTCGAATTTGTAGAAGCTTTCTCGAGATATCCCAATTGAAATTTGCGAAATTCTTCTTTTTTTGTAAGTGAAACTTCAATTTCAAACATGAAAAAAGATATTCTTTCAAATGATGATGAAAACCAGACCAAATACACAAGGGAATGGTGGATATAAAACAGTTTCAAATAGAGACCGAAGCAAAAATTCACTATCAAAAATGCTTTCATGTTTTCATAAAACTGCAATTAATAAAAATAAAATATCGACTTATGTAGTCATGCACAGATACATGTGCCTGTGTTTCCATGATATTAGTTACATTTGTACAGATATCTGATCAAAATATGTGTTATAAAACTCTTGTAAGAGAACTTTTGTAGATTTTCAAACACAGTGTGCTCAGTTCACTTTTTAAATCTACTATAGTTCACTTTGACATTCAAAGACGGAAAGTGTCACGGAGGAAAACACAGCAAAGAACGATTTTACCGTACTGCAAATATGCATTGAACGGAAAAACGAAAATCCCTAGTTTTGGGCAAAGCAAAGAACCTCAAATGCTTCAAGAGAATCAATTCTTTTCCCATTGCCTGTGATGCCAATAAAAAAGCACGGATGAAGACGGAGATATTCAACGATTGGCTATTACGTCGAAGTTCTGCCCCAGCCACCATACTCTCCAGACCTGTCGCCAACCGACTTCCACCGTTTAAGGCACTTCGATAACTATCTCAGCGGTAGAACCTTCGCCAGTCGTCGACTTCATCAAATCCCAAGCACACAATTTCTATGCTAACGGAATTCATCGATTTGTATTACGTTGTAAAAGTGTACTAATTCAAATGGCGTTTATTCCGATTTTGAAACAACCTAATAGAATTCATCTTCGAGTGAGTTGAAGATGAAATTATTCAATCCAATATTTTTTTATGATTTATTGAACATTTTCATTCACATCATAAGTATAATCGAAAGATGGAATGATGTGCATAAAAAATGTAAAATGAAGCCATAAATAATTTCATCTTCAAGTAAGTTATTTCTCTTTTGAAAGGTGAATGAATGAGGCAGATTCATCATTATTACATCTTATTATTATAGCAGGGGAGCCCACGATGCAAAATGGGGATTTACTCGAGCGTCATTGAGACATATTAGGTTGCAAAGCTTAGAGGATTAGAAGAAAAAAATGTTATATAATATATAACTTTTCATCGGTGGGGGAAGCGGCTATAGATTTTTAAATATATGCTGAAGATTAAGCACTGTCATACTCGAGCGCGTCAGATATTGATAGTGTCAATGTCCTACTTATTTTCAATAATGTTCGTATGTTAATCTGATCGTTTGCATGATGTGGGTGGTGGTACGTAAGGGTTAAAAGTAAAAAGGAAAAAAATTTAATCGAGCGCGTCAGATTTTCTACGGGGGTGTTAAGTGCAACAAAAAAAAGCTCTCATTCAATAATCTGATCTGACGCAAAGTCTCGGCCATTATTATAATATGCAAAAAAAAATCGTCATTTTGAAATACTCAAGCGCGTCAGATTAAGATATATATGGTTCATCTTTATGTTCTAGACGTGCTGTCTCATAATCTGACGATTATCTAGAGGGATTCGCCTAATCTGACAAAAAAATATTTTGTGTATGTTTTTTAAGTAGAATACTTGTATTTATAAGAAAATAATTTTTACAAAGTGCTCAAAAAAATTCATTTTTTTCAATCAATTGATTAATTAATCATCTTTATCTTCATCACGAACGAGTCTCTGTGATCAGCTGTGAGGGCGTCATGGCAACAGAATTCTTAGTGGGGACGGAGTGAGAGAGTAATAGACAGAGAAAATTGAAACAGGAGTAGAAACTCGGAGAAGGAAATATAGGTATAATACAGCTGCACGCATTAAACTTTATCGACGAATTTTTGTTATTTCGTCTTGCGGAAATCGTCAGATTATATATTTTTCGTTATCCTTGAATTATTTTTTCAAAATAAAAAAAAAATTAGCTACGCTCGAGAATGTCGGAATGAAGTTATTTTTTACAACTTTGCTGCCCTCCCCTTTCTTTACGTCCTTCTCAAATTGTCAGATTACTGGAATATACACTTTTCAGCATGTAATTAACTCACCCTTCCTTAATCTGACGCGCTCGAGAATTGCTGATGATCAAGTTATTTACTAATCTGATCCTTCACGGGCGGCCTTATATATGAGGCTCATATTTGGTGGAGGTACTTAACCGGGTACAAGGTATCCCCCTGTATATTGATCTGCCGCGCTTTATTAAATCCCGAAATCCCCGCTTGGGCTCCCCTATTATTATACATTACCTCAAAAAACAATGTAATAATGAAATTTTTACTGAATCTTTTGTGCCATATACATGGTTTCTCAGTCTGATGTTGAAGAAAATTGGATCTATTTAATTGAAATGCCGAAATTTCAACTCACCTCTTGGAAATCGGGAACTATTCCAGAATTTTCTATCACCAATCATATTATCACCAACACTATTTTCCAAATTAAGTGGAAACTCCCCATACTCTTCTGCCCAAATATCGGAAACGTTCCTAAACGGTTTCCCAAGAACACAATACACCAGAACGAATTGTAAACAAAACACAATTATTTTCACTTTCCGCATAATATCAAAATTCAAACGCCTCGAGCTAATCCCAACCGAAGCTCATTATAGAATCGCCCGATCGGATCTGATGAAAATTCCTCTCTGCAAGAACGGCACAACCAGCATCTGGGCTATCAGGCTAGGTCACAATCTACAATACTAATCCGCAATTTGTGCCAACGGCTCGCTGATGATGGCATGATCCGTTAGTTGATACAATACATAACTTTTTTTATGGCAATGCCAATTGAAGTTCATCTACATACTGGTTTGATCTGATATTGTACCGGGATCTGTACAGGTTGTCCGTCGAGGAGCGTTTTTTGAGAGTTAATATGAAGGGAAATAATAATAATAATAATAATACTTTATTTATAATACATATGTTTTATAATAATACATATGTATGCGGATGACACTCAACTATATCTATCATTCAACCCTAATGACGTTGTTACTGCTAATCAAAAATTGAATGAAGATTTAGTTCGTCTTATTTCAGCATCTGAAGCTTACAACCTCAAAATTAATTCAAACAAAACTAATCTGCTTGTTTTTGGTACTAATCGTGGTGGGTATATTAATATTGTTATTGGTGATACAGTAATATGCCCCACGAACGTGGCAAAAAATTTAGGTATCGAAATGGACGTGAATTTAAGGTTTACAAAACACGTCACAAAATGTGTTCAAAGAAGTTACATGAGTTTGAAAATGCTTCATCCTCATCGTCATTTATTATCAATGAGTTTGAAAATAAAATTAACAAGTGCTCTTGTGTTGAGTCATTTTGCATATTGTGATGATGTGTATGGTTCATGCCTGGATAAAAAAGATATTTTAAGAATTGAGAGAGTTAAAAAATCATGTCTTAAGTATTATTGTATATTTATGGTATTTATATGAAACTACAAATAAATATTATTATTATTATTATTATTTTCTCAGTGATATGCTGAAATATCTATTGAAATCAAATGACAGGCATAATGATCTCCTGAGGACGCTAACTTGGTTAGCGAAACGCGCGTTGAGGGACCTTAATTTTGTTCTGATGTTGAGAAAGTGTTATCCAGTACGAACTATCAAGATGCAGAAACATGTATACAGGTTGTAACTAAATAAGTGTAAAACATTTAAGGAGGTGATTCCTCATCGAAAAAAAGATAGGATCTTTCATATAAAGAAATATCATTGGAGCAACCCTTGTTAAGATACAGCCCCTTAAAGGGGGTACATAAAATTTGTATAACAATTTTTTTCACAAGCACTAAATAAGTTACAATATTGAAATTGCCCTGACGTTTTGTACTACCAAAAAGACACTTAGCCAGAAATTTATTTGGTTCTCCCCATTGTTGTAAGGGGTGGAAAACGCAACCTCTAAAATTTATTTCCAATGTGAGTTTTTGTCTTATTATTTGTTTACCATATAAAAATTTATTTCCGATAGCCTGTTTCATTCTAAACAAAAAATGTCTCTATGGTTTTTTCGCCAAAATAAACTAGTTAGCAGCAAAAAATTATTTTACGAACAACTACAGAGATACATCGTCATAAATGCCAAAATACGAAACTAATCTATCTAGTAGGTCGTTATTAGCGATAGTGACAATTAAATTGGTATGACGCTGTCAGTTTGTGAATTTTCGAAATTGAATTGATACTAATTGTGTGTTGTTGTTCTGTTCTTAATTTGTTAATTTAATAATTCACTTGTTCATTCGACAAAAGAACGCAGGATTGTGGTCGCCATAGAGAAGTACGAACACCACAGCTTTTATTTTTCTTGAATAACTATTGATATCTCATTTGAAAAAAAAAGTTTTATGCACCATTGAATTAATTCTACGTGAATAAGTGATTTGGAAATGTTTTCATAGAAACAAGAAATTTTTGACAGGAAAAAAGTAACATCAACTTTTCGAAAATGCACAACTTCGAAAAACATGCTGTAACTCAGAAACGATGATATATATCGATATACAATTTCAACCATCAAGTTTATCATAAAATTTGACTCTCAGACATTGTCATCAGTCTTCATCTATCTAGTTTCATACATACTTCATAAACAGCGAATACAGGCCAATTGTGATATTACATATTTTCCAGGGAACCTCAACGGAAGAAGTTAAAGACCGAAAGTCTTTTTTTGTGAAGAAAAAACAGTTTTTGTCGACGTTCTTTGGGTATTTTCCGATTCTGTATTAAATACAAGTTACTGATCAAATTCTGATAAATAGAACATTTTTTTTGTGAAAAATACTTTTAATTAACGAAGTAATTTATCGGGGTGAACTGTAAAACTTTGCCCTTTATATGTGTATGAAGTTTTTTCGATTAAAATTTCCAAATTTTTTAGATCGTAGAAGGTGAGAATAACGAGAAATAAGCAATAACCTAAAAATTGAAAATTACCAGGTCATGATGACATCACACCAGGAAAGAAAAGTTCGGTGACAATAACGAAGTCAATTTAAAAAAACAACCTTCAATATGTAGTTTCATAGATCCCGCAAAGATATTTGACACTATAGACCACATTCAGTTTTTGAAAGTGTTGGAAAGTAATGGATTCAGACGATGCAATAAATAAACAGAATTTTCAGACAAGTAATTATTAAATAATTTAGAGAGTCCTTATTTGAATTGTTGGTTTGAAAATCCTCATCAATTTCAAACATTTTTCATTCTTGACAGTAGATATTTTTCTTAGTGTAAATATCTCTTGAAACACTGATGGGACCACTGATAGATACATAGATAACACTAGTTGGTACCGGCATTTCCTAGGAAATTAAGTCAAAACACCATTCATAAGAATTTTTTATTCCACAAAATCATCACAAAGATTTAAAATAGCTCCAACTTTAACACTCAAACAGCTCTTACTTACGAATTTATCATGATTCAAGAATTTAACGTACTGTTCTCACCACAGTGTTGATTTCTAATATTTTTGACCTGTCAACTACAATTTTGACTCGGTAACCATATCGGTAAATTGTATTCGTTTTCAAAAAAGATACACCTTCATTTTTTCCTAATTTTTCGAGATATTTTGATAATAATTTTTTTTTTATTTATTTTTTTGAGTATTTTGTGGCCATTGATATGTTTCATGTGTGTAGGTAGCTGATTGTATAATTTAGAGCCAACGTATGTGACGAATTTCTCGTTGTGATAAAACACAAAATATCCTCACGCCTCATATTCGAGGCGTGACGTTCAAAAACCAGATAATTCGCAACATTTTCGAAACTGATATGAATGATAATTTTTATAAAATTATTTTCTGAGAGCTATAACTTGTTTGCAATATATCTATTCCTTTTTTTGGGAAAGAAAGTTTTTGGCTTTCTACTACTCCATCTGATACAAAAAAGGGATGAGAGAATCTTCCAAAGTAGAACTCATGTGAATGATATCTGATTCTTATTCCACAACAAATGTTTGAAATACAAACTGAGTAGAGAAAAGTATCTTCTGTATAATTCAGTGTTCATATAGAAGTATTTGTTTCGAAAGAATTACTTTCTTTCGTGTAATTCAATGTTTATATGAAAGTAGCTGTTTCAGGAGGACTTTCTTTCAGTTTGTATGTGAAAGTTACTTCTTTGCATGATCTACACATTCATGTATAGAGTTTCAAACTGATTACTTCCTTCCTTTCTTTGGAAGATTCTCTCATCCCTTTTTTTGTATCAGATGGAGTAGTAGAAAGCCAAAAACTTTCTTTCCCAAAAAATTAATCACTCCTAAAAATATAACCCCTTCAATTCAAATATCTATTCCTATTTCATGAAAGTTTGTAAAATTAAATCAGAATAAAACGAATAAAATGAAATAATCAAGATAAAAAAATGAAAATGACCATAATACAGAAATGAAAAATGATAAAAAAGTCTGAAAAAAAAACAAATTAAACCAAGTTACTTCACTGTATTTTTTTGTGTATTTTGGTCATTTTAATCTTTTGGGTATTTTATTCGTTTTATTGTAATTTCATCTCACGTTTTATTGCTTGAATATAATTGATATTTCCGCTATTTTTGTTTCTTCTTTCATAGATTTCGAATCATAGACAAGTCTGAACTAGCTAATTTTGAATTTATTCTATGCAAGCCGTTCCAGTTTTACCTTTTTTTGCCATAATGCTTGTCATGAATTTATATACTGAAGATATGATAGAAAATAATCTTCACAAAATTGCGTGGTCCTCAAGAAACGATATCGAGTCCAATCTCATTAGTGAAATTGAAGGTTGACTAACAAAAATATATTGAAAAGAAGTGACATTTGAATTGAATTAGATAGTAAATTATTAAATACAAACAACATTTGAAAAACGATGTAGGTGAAAAACATCCAATAATGAATATATGAGTATCTGAAATTAGTGTAAATCGAGTTGAAGAGAAACTCTGAATTGACGAACATCGAAGAACATCTGGACGAGTATGGCGAATCTGTGTCCCGTACAATTAATACATTCGAATAAAATATCAATGTGAACTCAGACTTTCCTTTTTCCTTTGAATAATTTCTATGTGTTTGATATGCCCAATAGAGCTATTCAGGGTGTATTTCGTGGATGATTACAGGACTCAAAATCACAAACATCTTCAGTGACTAGACGATCCACTTCAGAGTTGTTTGTATTCGATATTTTCAGATACTCTTCAACAGGATAAGTTTTCATAATGTTCTCAAATTTTTGGAATACCAATGCAAAGTATTTCAGTATATCAGAGGGATAAATCAAAAACTCTGAACATCTATTATAATGTTTGTCACTGTGATAAGTGATCAAATCGAACTCGTTTCTGGGATACTTCATTCCCTTGTTGCAATAATCCTTGAAAGCTCTGAAATACGAGGCGTCTTGTACGCTGTAGTTCCCCGCACATTCTTTCCAGTGTTTTCCAGTCACAGGACAAATTATAGTAGGCTGGCAAGTCTTCAAACATATCAAAACGTGTTTTGCAGAATCGTCCTCAGGAATATTAACAATCTTGACATCAGGAGGTATGTCTGGTGCATGGTCGATTTTGTCAAATTTTCCTGAACTATCAGACAAAATACTGTACAGTCCCAAAACTTTTTCAACGGGTAAAGTATCCAAAAATGACTCATACCTTTTCTCACAAGGACCAGAGAAAAACACCAGCGACCCATTGATTTCTTTATGGTTCTGGTATTGAGCCAGGACTTCGCCTTTGAACTTCCGTCTGTCCGATTTATTCTGCACCATATAATTCCAGGCGAGCCAGGATTTATTTGCGGTATATATTTCTTCATTGACTGTGTCGAATACTTCGGAATAAAAGTCAAGAAAGCTCTGTGAACTTGCCCCCATTTCTCTCAATATATTCTTCGAGGAGTTTGGAGACACTTTGTGGGATACATTTACAATGTACCACAGACAAACGTTGAGTTGATCTATTATGTTAGGGTCCAGCAGGGGGGATAGAGTTAGGAAAGATTTTGTATTCTCTGATATGTATATTATCTCTCTCTTCAATATTTCTGATTCGATCTTCCATTTGGGGTGATGCTTCATGAGAATGTAAAGGAAGAGAACATTCCAGACAGCTTTGTTTCCTGGGAGTTTGTTACCAGGACCAAAAATAACGGAGATAACTCTGTTGTTGTTCTTCCTAACCAATTCAAAGTTCACATCGTCAGTTCCACTGTTGAATATGTACACTCCTTTGAGCTGATGCCTAGTGAATGGGGATATGTATTTGTTTTCCAGCTGGGAGTAACTGCTCAAATCAATCTGTTGGAACTCCACCAAATCTAGAATTTTCTTGATTATATCCTCATGACTCAGAATCGAAAATGGATGAATGGATATTTGCTTGCTGATGTCATCTGGAATTATAGTCACTTCGGGCTTTCTGATCAAGAGACACAAATGGGTACATTTAGTGAACATAATGTCGCAAAATATTGCGTCGTCACTCTTTTCAATATCCTCTTCATCATCCTCTTCGTCTCCCTCTTCGAAAGGTACTGAAACCTCCACCTCCTGTAGAGTGTGAGTATTGGATAAGTGTGACAACTTGTAAATATCAGTATCATTTTTGAATAAATTCAATATGTCAGATATCTTTTGTTGTAAAACTTTTTTTTCGGTTACTGAACCATTTTTGATGAACTTCGTACACCCTGCGACGTCTTTATTTTCGAAAAATGTTTTAACGGATACGCTTTCGTCTACCAGCTCGCTCAGAAGTCTGTTGGACAGTTTACATACTTTAGAGCGAAGATCTAGACTTTCTTCCGGAAATCTGGATAGACGAGAGATGATACTAGCTTTGAAATCATTTTTTTCTGTTATATCCTTAACGCAAACTTTATCGAAATCTATGTTGATGTCGACTGTACAAGTAACTTTCTCATTAATGAAAATTTCCTTGTTGAACTTCGGAGAGGTGAATAAATTATCCATCTTCATATTCATTTCGCTTTCTTCTCCGATGTAATATATCTTGAAATGTTCAATACTGTTCAGAATATTACTGTTCATCAGTATGGCCTCGCATTTAACAATATCGTGGTCATACATTTGCCCGTCTGTTGTTACTATGAGCTGATATTTAAAATCATACGTTTTCAGTATTTCCAAAAATGTTTGGGGTAGAGTACTACCGCCTGCCTGATATTTATCCAAAACATTGCTGTTGATTTCGTATGCATATGAGTTCCATGTGATGACTTTGAATGCATCACCGATAAGGGAATTCACTGTGTTGAAATATTCTTCATTACTAAAGGTGGAACCACTGGTGTCAATGCAAGCTACAGTTCTGATTTTGTCCATTATGGAACTGGAAATGTGATGGACTGGCAGTCACAAAGTTAATCCAGACTATTTGTGGGTATCCTAGAAAAAAAACAAATGTAAGAAATGTATTTTGTCGGTAGCATTTATAGCATTAAAAATTAATTCAAGGCCGGCTTACAGCTGTGAAATTTAACTGAATCGAATGGGAATGAATATGTGGTTAGTTTTATTGACTAACCACCCGGTGGACTCAACACTTGGTTCCCAATAATCAAGGAAGAGGCCCCCACAATCGACCCGCTCGGAGGGGTCAGAGGCAAGGTGGTGGGGCCCATAACGATGATTTGCCTACCGACGACAACCCTGGCAACGACAACGGACGCTTTGAGTGGACGCATGAGCTGAGAGATAGCCTTATGCATTGCTACGAGAGTAGTGAGCCCGCGCGAAGAGGGTACATGGCGAGATTGCATGCTCTGTGGTGTGAAACACATCCGGAGCATGCCGCCTTTTCCGCCCAAAATCTTAGGGATTACGTATCCTATCTTCGGCGGTAGGGCTATATAGCTCCTCCCCAGTCTGCTAACGAAGTGGTAGAAGTGGCAGTTCTACCACCCGTTGGCACGGCTGGAGAGGAGACTCGCACCATACCACCAATGGAGACGACAATCAGAACACGCAGGGCGCTCCACAG